TGAGGCTAACACACTTGGCGCCTTTTTTTCCTTTTTTTTAAAAAGGTAATTTTGTTGAGATATCACGCATTTTTTGTAATGTTAAATATTTCTTATAAATCTGTATATAAAATATTAAAAAAAAACCATTATAATAAAATATAATAATAGAGCTCTAATATAATAATAGAGCTCACTGTACGTGCCTTTAGCTTTAAAATAAAAAAGAAACAATATTTAAATATTAAATCTTATAAGACCGTGAGAAACACAACCAATAAAATGCCTTTAACGATCGAACTGTATCTTAGGTACTAATTATAATTCCGTGAGAATTTATATAAAACTAGCATCAAAACTCTCCTCTCCTTCTATGTTGATTAGCGAAATTAGAAATTGCACACCTGTAGCTTTAGCAATTCTTTTCAGATCAGCTTTTTTGCAACGAGAAGTCTAGACATGCGATTTTCGCGTTCGTTATCCTCTTCGGCATTGCTTGAGAGGCGACAGTACAGTTCAAAGCATAGCCTCGAACACTTTTTCCGTGAACTTTCAAGATATTGACTGCTTTGTAACAGGATACAAAAATCCTCTTTTGCTATCGTTGATTTTTATCTATCTAATGTCATTACGTTGACAGCTAATCGATATAAAATAAAATATGCTAGCAAGCGCCGTCTGCCGTTTAAAACGTGAAACGGACAACATTTCCGATGTTAAAATTTTTGACATTTCAACTTCACATCGAGATATCTTCCTTCGTAGGGTACGTAGACAATAAAAACATATTTATAATATAATTTAAACACTAAAACTAAATTACGGATATATAAAAGTTGATAAATTCAGCCATTTATTGTGAGATCCGATAATCTCGGGTACACGGAACTCATCGACTCGCGTAAAGATACACGTGCGGTCTTGCGCTTCGCGTTCACTTGGCGCGAGACACTACCGTGTCTCTTGATGTAATTATTAATAATAAATTTATATATATTTCTAACAACTAGTATAGCTCAATTAGTTTTTGACCTGGGAGGTATATTAAGTTTAATTTGAAATTTATTTGAGCGTATATCAATTTAATTTAAAATATTTTATTATATTATATTTATTATAGTAAAAGTGAAAAGTACAAAGAAATGCTGTAATAAAGAATAGAAAGCGGTTTTGAACAAGACCGTTATATCATTATACAATAATTAGGAAATAAGGACCCTAAACAAACTAGATCTTAAGTGCTAAAATAATTCAGTTTGAATTTATACAGAGTATTTGGAATTTAAATGGTCAAACTTCGGGATTATTCGGGATCGATAAACTAAGAAAAAAAGTCTTGTAGAGATATACTCGTTTTTGCTTCGTTTTGGAGAAAATTGCAAAAAAAAGAAAAAACATAAAATGAAAAGTGTAAAGGATCTTATTATTTAAATAAAAGTAAATTTAGTAAAGAGCACGTAAGAGTTACAAATATTTTAAGTAAAAAAGAACAAAATTATTGTATTAAAAATTAAGCATTACATTTAATATTTGAAAGTTACATTATTAAAATCAATGTGTAATTAGTATAACATAACATATGTTTCGGTCTTTGTATTACAAAAAATTACCTCTTCAAATGTTTGCAATTATTATGAAAGACATTATTATTATATAACAAAAGTTCGTGAAGATGTTAATCATATTTGAAAACATTAAGACAAAACATAGTTACTAAGGGTGCACTCAGATGGAGCGAATCTGCGGAAATTCGGAATTGACGTGATTGGTCGTTGTTTCATCCGCCATTTTCGTCATTTTCTTTCCGCGGATTTTCTAATATTTAACGGATTCCGCATAGATATAAACTGTATTTGTTTTTGTTTACATTTTAACCCAACATGGCAAACATTGAAAATATTGTGAGTATAACAAAGTAATTCTTCAGAAGAGTTTCCTCACCTCCGATTTCGATGAAATTTGGATTATTCGACTCGTTTTGTGTAAAATGAAAGAATCTAGCAGAATAATTTCATTGAAATCGGAGGTGAGGAAGCTGTTCTGAAGAATTACTGTATTTAATATTTTAAAATAAAAAATGTTTAAATGTTATGTAACTTTTGAAGGGTAAGAAATGTGGATACTGCAGATGGTTTTTATCAGAAAATTATGATTTGCTGCGACATTCTTATTTCCACCCTTTCGATGATGACAAAAATGACCTTATTATTGACGAAAATCTGATTGTAACTGTAGGTAAGTCTACATATTGCAATATAAGAGTCTATTATAAACTATAATACAACAGGTAATAATACTAATACAAACGCTTCTTGCGCAAATCTACAGAATAAACTTTAACTTATAAAATTAACAATGTATTGTACCTAGAACCTATATTGATTACAATAAAACGCAAAAATACTAAAACAATCTAGAATGAAAAGGAAACGTAAATTTTAATTTTAGTTTGGCCGTTAAATTATTTAATCAAATTTATTTTTTTCTAAAACCACCGAGGATGAACATATGTCTGAACATTTTGGAATTGGAGATATCAATGAAATTACAAATAATGAAGTTACGATTGATGAATTTTTAATTACATGCGTTTCTCAAAAACAAGGATTATATGATTATCGAATCCCTGCCAGTTCCAGAGCTAATCTCAAAAAGAAAACATTATGGCAGGAAGTTTCGAATATGATGGGAGGTGTGTAATTATATATGGTGATACATAATTATAATGATTTAAACAAATGTTTATTGTAATTGTTTTCTTTTAAGGGCAATTATCTGCCGAGGATGCAAAGAATCGTTGGAAATATTTGAGGGATTGTTATATGAAAGCGAAAAAAAAGCAACGAACTTACATCCCCAGCGGCTCCGGAGCAATACCGAAGAAAAAAAATACATTTCGCTTTTTTGAGCAAATGAAATTCTTAGATGACACCTTGCAGACGTCTCAGTAAGTTATACCTATTGCGATAGTACCTATTGTACAATACAATATACAAAGATACAAAGATATACAAAGATATCTAGGCTACAATAGTTTCCATAGTTTCCATAAAATTGAAATGAGTTTAAAAAAAATCATTTTTTCTTTCAGAACAAGCAGCAGTTTACCAAAGGCATCTCCATCGACTAGTAAATCGTCATCAACATTATCGGCTACTACATCTTTGTCAATGTCCAGTAAGGAATCTGAATGCTCCATATCATCCAATATTGTAGATGACTATTTACCATCACCAAAAAGTAAGTATATATTACATTATTCATATTATACATATTATTCACTGTTATATATTACACTATTCATTTCACTATTATACTATTAATATGTAAAATTAATTAAATAATTAATTAATTATGTAATTGTTAAATTTTAGACATAAAATACAATAAAAACAAAAAATATGCTACTCATATCGATGAGTGCATCCTCGATGCATTGAAACTTCCAGTGAAACAATCCGATGCAACAGACGGTTTCTTATTAACATTGGGAGAAGGACTGCGGAAACTTCCCTATCGGCAGAGAACCGAGCTGGAAATAAAATTTTTGTCAATGGTTATGGAAGCAACTACCAATAATGAAACCAATGAATAGATTTTGTATGCTTTGCTTTTAGAGGACACACTCTATACAAACATCGTTCTATCTTTATCATTCGTTGAATGTTAAGAAGGATAGAACGACGTTTGTGTCGAATGCGTGTTTGTATTTGTGTTTTATGCGTGGTTTTGTGCGTGTTTTTGTGCATGTTTTTGTGCGTGTTTGTGTTTGTGCGCACATTCCACAGTACACAGTTCTGAGATAGGTTAAAATTCTTATATTTAATATCTGTTCTTAATATTTCTCCTATTGTGCGCAGACCCTAAAGCCCAAGACACAATTCGAGGGAATAGCGATAGCGAGTTTCAACTTATCAGAAATCGAATACACCGGAATACGCATTTTTGATAGGTTGAAACTTATTACCAGGGATGGGAAGTAACTCGTTACTTGTAACGAAGTTGACCGCTCACTAAGCGCTCAATGAGCTTTTTTATCTGATTGGCATATTCCATTAGATCTAAAAATATTAACCAAACAGGTACAAGAGTTCACTGAGCGCTCAATGAGCGGTCGTGCTTCTGGATGCACCTATTGTGTCTTGGACTTAAGTCATCTGGATCATTTTAATGTAAAAAATTATATCTATACGCATAAGATTATTATATCCAACAAGAGACACAAAAGTGACACGGTGTGATACGGCAATCGTTGCATCCTTATCGTTCGTTAATGTTAAATAAAGATGAAGGTGATTGCTGTGTCGTAGATGGAAAGTACCCTATGTATTAATAGATTATTCTATATAAATTTATTATATTATATAATATATTATTTTGTAATAAATTTGAGTGTAAACGTTATTATTTATTAACTTTCATACATTTTTTAATTATAGTAAAAGAAACCTGTCATCGCATATATTATTTGCAAAACTTGCAGACTTTTTTTTAGCAAAACACTTTTAAAAATTATTTTCAATTGCTTTTTCCCATTGGAATGGAATAGCTCCAATACTTTGAAAATAGACAGAAAAATTGTCACGAAGTACAGTGCATGCATTACTACTTCGTTCACACGGTGAACTGTTGTGTCACAAATTCCATTGCTGGTCTCATGTAGATCTTGGAAAGGTTGATGGGTATACGTTTTCTTTCCTGTCAATTTCTCTTCGTTTTGTAGAATAAAATTGTGTAAAACAACAGCTGCTTGCACTATCAATCTTGCATTACTGACCGTTGCAATAAGTGGCTTTCGAAATATTCTCCAATGAGCGACTAGAATTCTGAAAGCGCTCTCCACTACTCGTCTAGCTCGGCTAAGTCTATAATTAAAGACTTTTTTGGAGATATCAAGGTGTCCATTACGTGAATAGGGCCTCATCATGTAATTAGATAACGGAAAAGCTTCGTCTGCCACCAAAACAAACGGTAAAGCTGGTCCGCCAGGTTCTAATGGCTTTGCCTGAGGTATATTAAATGTTTGAGCTTCAAAACGCTTGCCAATTTCACTAGACCTAAAAATTCCTCCATCGCTTTGCCTTCCTTCTGCACCAATATCCACCATTGTAAAACAATACTTGGCATCGCTTATTGCTAGTAACGTGATACTGTGATGACCCTTATAATTATAGTATATTGAGCCGCTTCGTGGTAGAGCCTATTTTACAAGAAAACCTCTAGCTATGTAATATATGTTATAACGAATTTAAAAGATTTCTTTAACATACTTGAATTGCAATATGCTTTCCATCAATGGCACCTATGCAATGAGGAAAGTTCCACAGGGATTCAAATTTATCAGCTACAACTTGCCAACTCTCTTCGTCGTCAGCGATAAAAACTAAGTCCTTCAGCGTGTTCCATACCGCATGACATGTTTCAGTTATTATTTGTGATACGACGGTGCTGTGTCCAATGCGAAAAGCATAAGATAGCGATTTCATACTATCACCCGAAGCCAGATATCTTAACATCACTTGCAAACGAGTGTGCGATGGAATTGGATCACGAATTATATTTTGTTTGATAATGTTTGGTTCAATTAACTTCAACAATTTATTAAATAATTGAGGTGGCATTCGAAAGTAATCTACATAATTCTCAACATCTTCGTTTTCCATTTCTCTAATAAGATTATCGCTGGCTCCTTGTAGAAATCGTCTTTCGCAAGTGAATATTGGGCGAACCCAACATGTTCGTTGTGTGCATTCCCTCTTTCGTTTTATTTTATAAAAAATGTATAATTTGGCAATTTTTTGTCGTAATTGTTGTTGATAAAAAACATCTTCACTCAACCGCAATTTTTTTATTAATCCGCATATCAGGATCAGAATTTTAATAGAAGGAATCATTTCGCACACAGCTAATAAACAGTGTTTGAATATTTCAATATAAACGTTATAATTTATATTGTAAGTATTTCAATATAAACGTTTTTTTCTGTTTTCTCCGTTCCGTAGAAATATTTTTCCTATGTTCACATGGTGCAAAATTAACAGAAGCGTAAAACAGTCCTATCCAATGGAATGTACTCTTTACATAGATAAGTATAAAACGTCCGCTGTACGAGTTAATATTATTAGTCGATAAAATTTCCGCTTCCGCGAGATCCGGTTCATGTGAACATAGGAAAAATAAATCTGCGAAATGAAAATAACGGAATGAAGCAACGATCAATCACATCAATTCCGCCAATTCCGCATTTCCGCAGATCCGCTCCATCTGAGTGCACCTTAATTCGTACTACACTGCCTCTAAAGTATTTTATCGTCGCTATTAAAAATAATTTAAACGAAACTATATTCACTAAAGGAGGAATTATTAATCAAAGAAATGATCATATATGGTCTTATAGTAGGGGAGGCCGAGAGGCTAAATGTGGATTTACTCGAGCGTCGTGGGGACCTATTGGAATGTGAAGATTAGATGCTAAAAAGAAAAAAAGGTTATATGATGTATGCCGTTTCAGTGATGGGGGGAGCGTGTACAGGCTTTCAAAAAAACAGTGACAATGAAATACTCGAGCGTGTCAGATATTAATAGTGTAAGCGACCCATGTGTTTCTGATAATGGATAAATATTAATCTGACGGTTTACGTGGTGGGGTTAGCTGTAGGAAGGGGTCAAAAAAAGGGGAAAAAAAAATTTCCTCGAGCGCGTCAGATTTTTTAAATGTACACTTTCCTATACATATGTAATTAACCATACCTTAATCTGACGCGCTCGAGTTTTCGAACGATCGATTTTTTTTATTTACTAATCCCCTGGACCTCCGGCTCTATATAGAGGTTTAATATTTGGTGGGGGTACTTACTAGGGTGCAAGCTTTCCCCCTTTATGTTATTCTGACGCGCTCGAGTAAATCCCAAAATCCCCGCTTGGCCTCCCCTATACTATTATGAAAATCCCAGGGCTGTTAGGGAAAATTAGAGTCCTAGATATCAGAGAAGCGCAATCGGCTTAAGTCAGTATCGCAAAATTACTAAGAAAAGTATTAAAAATGGCGTCGTTTGCAGACGAAATATGAAATCCATCAATCGTCTATTAGTCAGCCATTTTTAATACCACTTTGGCTGACAGTCAGCTAATCAGGACGCGGAACATCGATTGCGCTTCTCTGATATCTAGGACTCTAGGGGAAATAAGTTTCAACATGAATTTGATATTAAGGGTGATTTTACATGCAGCGCGGAACGCGGTACGCGGTAGGCGGTAAAGTAACCAGGAACCGCGGCGGCAAGCCGCGGTACGCGGTATGCGGTACGCGGTGAAGTAACTATAAGTTAATTAACCTGAAAAGTTAACGCAAATTTCTTCCAAGTGGCCAATAAAGCGCACGGTAATTATTAGATTTAATCGATTAATAATGTTATCATGGCTATCAACATCATATCTGCAGTCTCCATGACAAAAACAGTCTTTAATTATTGCGAAAACCGTTTTTTTTTCCTACCAAACTCCGAACTCCGAAATTATTTCTCTTTACTTGGCAGTATACACAGTATATACCTGTGTTAATTTCTAGTTATGCACCCAGCCGACCGAGCCGATGCCGACCATGTCGTTATCGTTCCGCCTTTCTTTTTTCCTACTATTACATGGAACGCGGAAAGGCGGCACGGTATAGTGACAAATTCACATTTGTATGCATTTTCTTAAATGTATTAACTTATTTCTTTGCACATTTTATCAATAATCTTATTTTTTCAACGAATCTGCTTAATAATTGCATTTAAATCTATTAATTTCATTAAAAAGTGCATAGTAACGTCAACTTGTCACTAGTCCGTGCCGCTTTTCCGCGCAGTTTTGGCTCCATGTAATAATAGGAGAAAATTAGCGCGGCTTACCGCGCGCGGTTCCTAGTTACTTTACCGCGTACCGCGTACCGCGTTCCGCACTGCATGTAAAATCACCCTAACGTTTGGCTCGGAATTTGGAAGAACTCTCTAGTTGGACCATTTTTTTACCCGACAGATTAAATGTAGCTAAATATACAGATTTTTTTGGAAACTGACTTTTTTGATCATTTAGACATACATATACAGCAACGGATTGAAAAGTGGTTTCAACTCGATAGATGTCCAGTTCATTATGACACAACTACTCGAGCTTGCATGGTTAGACAGATATTTTCCACAACAATGGATTAGACGTGGCAGATGAGTAGTATCTTGGCCACCACGATTACCTGATCTAACATCATTAAACTTTTTTGTGTGGGGGGGAGTCCTAAAGCAGGAAGTTTATTCGTTGTCAATCAATTTAAAAAAACAATTGGGAAATAGAATCGAGGTGCACCAAATATCGCCAGATCAGTATTTAACTGTTGTCCATACGCGAGTTGTCCATACTAGATGCAATGCAAGAGGTCAACATTTTGAATAACATCTACGTTAAGGTGATGCTGGAATCGTTTGTATTATCGATAAAACTAGCGTTTTTAACGTTTTCGTTCCTGTCTAATTTCTTCGTAATAGTATCACAGAATAAAAATTCCTTCTCCACGATCAAAATATCCGAGCTAATATATTTGTCCCTGGTGTATATTCTGTCCAAAGCTGGAAAAAGTATGAAATCATAGATTTCTTTATCCATTTAACCTCAATATGGCGATCAACGCTGAAGATAAAAATGGATAAAGAAATCTGTAATTTCATACTTTTTCCAACTTTGGACACAATATATACCAGGGACAGATATATTAGCTCGGATATTTGAATCGTGAAGAAGGAATTTTTATTCTGTGAAACTATTATGAAGAAATTAGACAGGAACGAAAACGTCAAAAACGCTTGTTTTATCGATAATACAGGCGGGTCCAGCATCCCCTTAAGCAAGTGAATAAATACAATTTAAATAAGTAATAAAAAAAGTACAAAAATGAAAACTACGTTTTGTCTTTGTTTGTGATTTTCTCCAAAATAAAACAAAAACGAACATATCTCTACAGGACTCTTTTTTCTTAGTTTATTGATTTTCTCGCTCTCGAAATTTGGCTATTTAAATTTCAAACACCCTGTATACTATATGTATTTATAGTATTTTAAAACCGCGTTATTAAATTATTTTCTGTCTTGAAACGCAATCCGATGAAACTACTACAGTAATATGACAAATTAAATTGTTTGTCAATTGACTTATTGTTAGCTTGAAGTTAGAAATGTTTCACTCATGCATCTGCCTACTTCAATGTCAAATAGCACTTATCCTAGGTGAATTCTAATATGGCGGAAATTTCAAATTCAATTTTTTCCAGATTCTAATGGCTCACCCAGTATATCTTTTCAATACTCTGCGAGTAAACGCTCTCTTATTGAATTATCGATCATTTGACCTTGTTATGTCTGTTAAATTGTCCTCGAAAAGATTAAGTATGTTCTATTACAGTAGAAGTAAAGAATTATTATAAAAATCATTAAGTTACGGAACGAATATCTAGGTTGAAATCTACGTGCAATTATAGAATGTAGGCACCATTCTTCCTACTTCGCGCCTCCGCCTCCGCTCCCTCCGCTTGCAATTATACGGCTCTGCTGCATCTCGACCACACGGACCGTGCGTGTTCAGATTTCAGTGTGTTGTATATTGTATTCTCGTGATTACCAACGCGTTTGCGCGGCATCGATCCGCGCGATACCTCGCAGTCTGTATATTCCTTGATATAAACGGCATATGTATGTCGTGCCAGTTTGACAGCGGATGTTCCTCGGAGGATCCGCCGTTTACGTTTGTACTATGGAACATTATTTCACCGTTCTCGATCGACGAGAAGATCAGAGAACAACTGGCGAGGTGCGTTTAGATGACGGGCTGTCTGTCTGCATTGTCAATTAAATTTTATCGATTAAATTTCACAATTAGTCCATTTCGCGCGCGCGTGCTAAATGTATTATTATTAACTCCTCAAAATTGCTCCGTGTTGCCAAAAATATGACAACAACCGAATACCAGTCAATGTAGAATGATCGGCCATTTTAGCCTTGCGCTGCGAGACTAATGCGCGCATGACATCAATTAACTTGAATTAGTTAGATTGCCACGTGCATTTCAATCTTTGCAGATTATTTATAGACTAATGAAGTAGATCGACAAATAACTAGATTACTTGTGAATTAATAAGTTAATTAGATTCTAAATGTATTCTCCGCAGAAAAAGCAATGCGCAGCCTCGCTCGCAAGCTACTAGTATGGCCGACGTTGGTACTGTCTCTTTTGGTAGCCTTCCGTCTGCTATTTGGCCGAGATTTTCGATTGCCAACGACGACGCGTGTTTTTCGTGATGACAATGATATCTCCAACTTGGATAATAGCCATACAAATTCGCAGCATGACGCTAGTCCACCAGTAGGGGCAGTAGACGACCCACCTGTTTACACAGCGGGTATGTACATGGCAGGTCAGCGACCCCGCAACCATAATGAAAGTGCCTGCAGATGGTACCATGGCTTACCGGATGTTCTTTCCTATCCATCATCCAGACTCACGTGGAGTCCCGAAATCGGCAAGAAGAGTTCCTACAGGTAGAGCTTAGATCACAATCGTCTACTGCATCTGTATCTACAAAAAATCATCATTATTTTTCTTCGCAAACTTTATTCGGCTGCTTAAAACTCATTACTGATATTATTATAGTAAGTAATCAACATTAGAAAGTAGTACTTGACATAGAAAACAGAGCACGGAGAAAAAAGTTTGCTGTCACAGCGTATTTTATGATGTAATCGCGCGTGACAGATTTTTTTTAAAGAGAGAAAGTGAGAGTTTCAAATCTCGCGTGAAGTAATTTGCTGTTTTGTTCAACCGAAGCAATTTGGGTTTACTTCGAATTAAATTTTTATTCTAGTTGCGTATATTCATATCTCTATACAATTAACGAATTTACGCAACAATATCCTTCAATTTTAATAATAAAATGAGTTAAACATCGAACAATGCGACGCGACGTTATAATATAGGAATCTTCGCTATTCGGACGCTTTCGCGTTAAAAAATCGCAGTATTATGCAATGGTTTTACTGCGACATGCAGAATTCTTTTTCTACAGGGTTCTGCCATTCGTGTTGTTTGGCGCCATCGAAGCAGTGACGAAAAATTTGCCCCAAGTCACACTATCCACACACGCCACCGCCGATCAGGTTTACGGAATTGTGGAACTCGCCAGACGATGGGAGGGACCGCTCAGCCTGGCGGTATTTGCACCAGGCCTCGACGCCGGCCTCGCTGTCGCTCAACTTGATCGAGCCTGTCGTTGCGAGCCTGCCATGTACAAGGTCTTTTTAACTTCCTCACTTCCTCGTCACGGTCACAAATTTCCTACAAGTTCTATCAATTAACAATTAACACAATGAAATGCTCTATCGATCCTCAAAGTTTTCATGCTTATTTCATTATAGTAATGAGAGAACTCGGAAATTTGCGCTTTTAGGTCATTTACGCGTGTATTAAAACAAAAATGTGTATAATTATATTTTATTATCGTACAAAGAAATTTTTTTGTAGAGATAACATTATTGTGCGTAGACCCTAATAAGTAACACATCACTCAATAAGTCCCGGACTTGACATAATAGATGGCGCACTAATAACAAATCCATATGATTTTTAGAAAGTATACTAAACCTTCAAACATACAATACGTGTCAAAATTTTAGCTCAATCGGACCTTTACTTTACAAGTTACAGTGGTTTAAGTGACGCTACTTTTATCGAATTTGGGCGACCAGAGCGTTCAGCATTATTTGTGTTTTTACGATCGCGTTTAAAGTCAGCATATACCACCTCTTAACTGTTGTTTTCGACGGAGCAGAGTCCGAATAACACTTATCAAGCCATTGCTTTGCTTGAACGGTATTTTTTCCCATCAGGAAGCAATGCTTTATCAACACACGAAATTTAGATTTTTCCATTATTTTGAAAAATGCAAAAGTATAGCGTTACTTAAATCACTGTAACTTATAAAGTAAAGGTCCGATTGAGCTAAAATTTTAACACGTATGTTTGAAGGTTTAGTACTTTCTAAAAATATATGGATTTATTATTAGTGCGCCATCTATTATGTCAGGCTTATTGAGTGATGTGTTATATAAGCATAGTGTACACTGAGTATACACAATAGTTCAGTTTTTTTATACATACTTTTTACACATTGTGTTTTAATCTCATTAGTCGATACAACCCGAAATTATTTATATGACTTGCGGTGCACAAAAAATATGAAAGTATATTGCAAAAAGGTATAGATTCAGATTCCGTTATATTAAAACACTTGCTTGTGATTAGCATAGACATTCTAATCTGTATGGAATACAGATTTAATGCGCGTACCAATCTTTCACGATGTAAACCAAGCCATTGTAGTCTTTTTTATTTAATGACCCGGCGATCACAGGTTTCCGTCCACCTGGTGTTTCCGGCCGGTCGACCGCCCGCTCTGGGCGCAATCTGCAGTCGTACTTTGCAAAGCGATTGCGCTGCATCTGATCTTCAGTGGCGGCAAGCCGAAACCGAGAGGTGGAAGAGGAAAATGACATATCCCATCAACGTCGCTCGGAATGTGGCGAGAACGATGGCGAACACATCTCGCGTGCTTGTGTCGGATATCGAACTGTTACCAAGCGCGCGGCTGGCTTCTGGTTTCATGGAGATGGTGCACCAGAGACCGCCCAAGCACGGCGTAGTCTTTGTTGTGCCTATATTTGAAATAGAATCCAATGAACCGCCGCCGGTGACAAAACGCGAGCTGCTCGCCGCCTGCCGTGCCGGCTTGGCTGTATATTTTCATAGGTATAACATATATACTATATACCGACGCCTACTACGAAGAGTATGTTTCATTTGTCCTACGAAAAACAGTATATTACGTGATTCCGCGAAGAGTTTCACGTTTCAATTTAATTTACGAATATTATCACGTTTCGGTCCTTGCTACGAAAACTAATACGTTTCAGCGTTTATAGTCGAATTTAGTCGCAAAAAGTAATATATTTCGGTTTATACCGCGAAAACCAATATGTTTGAACATTTTACTACGAAGAGTAGCACGTTTCCCTTTAAACTAACACATTCCACGAAAACTAACACGTTCCAAGGTTGAAAGGCGATTAACCGCGAAAAGTAACTCGTTTTATTTTATATTGCGAAATTAAATATATTTGAAAGTTTTACTACGAAGAGTAACATGTTTCTTGTTTATATTACGAAAAATATAACGCGTTCCAACATTTAAAAGCGTTTAACCGCGAAAAGTAGGGTGTTTCACTTTATTAAACGCGAAAACTATTATGTTTTAAGGTTTCGCTACGAAAAGTAATACTTTATGTCGCAAAAATTAATTCGTTTTAACGTTCGATCATGAAAAAAAGTATAATTTATAAATTATAATTATACCGCGGAACCTAATACGTTTTACCTATGGTGGAAGGATAACATGGTGTGTGCATAGACATAAGAAACCATAGACCGAGCGTAAGCCTGCGGAGTAATGATAAACGGGGTAAGGGGAAACAGCGGACGAATTCGGCTATTTCCGTAGATCGGCTCGGGTATGTTCGAGGTTACAGAAAAGAGTTTATTTTTTTTGTAAATAAATGTAAATATAATGCAAATGTGATGATATGTGATAAATGAGAATTAAAAAAATCTGTATTATTTTTGTAGAAACACGTTTTAATGAACAAATATTAAATCTCTCTTCCGTACAATTGATAAAGAATAAACAAACAAGAAAAAGGAAGCCAATAACATATTAAAATCTAAAGATGATAAATTAAAATTCACGTATTTAAAATTCTGTAATTCTTATGTATTATTACGTGATTTAACAAATATTGAATCTTTTTATGACCGTACAATTGATAAACAATAAACAAACAAGAAGAAGGAAGCCAATAACGGTTAAAGCTGGATTACAAATGCTTATTATAATTATGTTTCTTTTATTTTATATTTTTTATATTTTATGTTTTATTTTATTTCTGACAGACGCTTCTAACCTTTGTATTTTCAAATACTGACACATGCGATAATTCAAATAATGACACATGCCGAATGTTTCCGAATCTAACTAAAGTTTACCCGACTTCGTCCGATATTTCCCCTGTCGGTTATCACATCCCTCCTTATCTATAGTAGCAGCTTACGCTCGGTCTATGGTTTCTTATGTCTATGGGTGTGTGCAGTCTGATGTCTCTCTAAGGCCCGTATTCATAGTCGTGATTCAACCCATGGTAGAAATATAAGGGCATGATAGCTCCAGATAACCAATGAGAATTGCAGCCAGCTGACGTCATCATTACGTCATCATTACGCGGCAAATCTAAATGGTTAAAAGAGAAGTAAATCATGGTAGTGTCAATACATTAAGATAAGCGAAAGGATTTTTTTTTTTTATTAATTATTTAATTAATAACACTTTTAATTTGTAATAAAATCAGAAATGAAATTGTATATTAAGAGAATAATTAGTAATTAATACGTAATTTACATCCGTAATGAATGCTGTTCATTCTTGGAAAGTTGATATTTTTTAAATTAAATAAATTTAGTAACATTAATATTATGTTGTATTCATGTAATTGAACATTAAATAAAATTACATTTAATTACATTACATTAATTAATTAATTAATTAACATTAAATTAACATTAACATTTAATTATTTACATTATTTAATTACATTACATTTAATTATAAATAATCGTATATTGTAAATTATTGTACATTATGTATAAAAATAATGAAATTGCAGTACCTGAAAAATTGTGAGGGTTTTTTGAAAGGAAAAGAAAATCGTAGTCGTGTGAAATTACATACTGAAACAGTTTAATTATTTACAAATTTTAACACTTTTTTCTTATTTTTTTCTCTTTCTATTTTGCAATGATATTTGACGATTAATTTCTCGTACTCGGATGTACGTTCGCGTCCTTACTAAACATAAAATTACTTCTTTAGGTATTTCGATTGGGCGTATTGTAATTTCTATTTTTTTCGCTAGTGTTTTAAATATAAATTCATTCTTACAAAGGGTCGACTCATGATATTTAATAAATTCTACATTCATGACGCGCGCAGCTTTAAGAAGTTCTTCCGACGGATATATGCATTTGCCACGCGAAATAAACTGTAGCCAGTCCACATTTATTGCAGGTGGCAAAAGGCATGTCATGTTACCTAAATATGGATATTTATTTTTGAATCTATAAGCTGCGTAACCAGCGATGTATACCAAACCTTCATTTTTAATAATGTCAATAACATCCAACTGTTCTAACGATATAAGAAGTTGTTCTTCTTCAACAGACATATAGAATGAACTTAAATCACATACAGGATAATTATTATTTTCACCATCAGTATCGCGAAAATTTGCGAAACATTCTTCTTCAAAATTCAACGGCTTTTCCTGTACAGTATACGGTTCTAATACCTCGTTGCTTAAGATCGGCAATGAACTTTCAACATCTAGTGGAGACATACAAGCTATATTCGGCTCGCATGCAGTTATATTGGAAGTCACGCAAAAAAGATTAGAAGAATGTTTTCCTATAATATATTTCTTCAATCTATATCGAAAATCGAGTGCATTTGGACGATCGTTCGGACCTGCACTGCCCCGAATGACGGAAAGAAAATTTTCCAGCAAATCCTGATTAAGACGGCTCGTGATGATGTATTTCATAACAAAATTATCATCAGAATATTTATCTTTTAAATATACGAACAGTTGTTCTAGAGAATTATTGCTGATAATAATTCCTTTTTGAAATGATAGTAAGCTCTTACGTTTTCCAATTCTAATTCTGTTCATGACATCCGTCATTTCGTGTAAAATTGTATTTTGTTTTTCGAGCTCGATACCATATGCATTCTTATCTTCGCATTTACCATACATATTAGAAGAATTTAAAATATCAAACCACTTATTACATAATTTGATAAATTTTGCTGTTTCTTCCCAATGTGGGTGATCGAGGTAACCTTTTTTGCCACACCATTCGATCGCAGAACCTGTCCTATTGGACAATAACTGAGCAGCGGGAAGAACTTTTTGTCGCTCAGATCCTTGAACATCTAAATGATACTGCGATATTGTAAATGCGACTTTTAAATCTTTAGTGTTTATCGCTAAAAGCTTCTCAATGCATTTTCTATTGATTATACAGCCATCTAAGTTAATTATGTGATCCAGCAAGTGATTTCTAATCAGTTTCAATAAATGTGGAGCATCTGCAAAAACATAAATTAATAAATTTTCATCACAAGGATGCTGAAAAAAACACTCTTTGGATGCAATCCCGATACCTAATTCCGCCCATAAACCCATATTACTCGGTCCCATATCGCTAACTATGGCAACAACTATATAATCAATGGCATGCAGGCGAGTAATTATATTTAACAAAACGTTTTTGGTCATTGGTGTGTCATAATTATAGTACATGGGTTGTTTCCAATTGGAAAAGAGACTTCTAACCATCGCACATTGACTATTTTTGTGTGGTCCTACAACTTGTTCTTTTTGTCTATCAATGGATATTTTATTGTTAATATAAACTTTATCAAACATTAAAACCAATAACTTTCAAATTTTTTCATGCATTTTCCCTTAATTTCCATGCAATTTAAAGCAGGAATTATCACACCAGGTCTTATTTGAATGTTATTTGCCCACCTTCGAAGTGTAGACAGACCAGGGAGCGGTATTTTAACAATGTTACCGATAAGCCTTCGGGCTGACACATCTTAATGATATTGCACTTGCAATATCTTCGGAAGACCAGACGATATGTTTCTTTTCTGGATGTAGCAGCATTTTTATCTGCCCTGGCGTAAATATTTGAGAAAGTACCTCGTACATATTTTCTTTTAATTTTTTTTCTCCTATTTCTCTTCCTTCTTCTTGAACTCCGTAAGCGCTTTCTTTGTTTCCGCTAACTCCAGTTGTAGATTTTTTCTGAAAACATTTCACATAATAAATACAAATACTTAATATATTATTTATCGACTTGTATTCATGTATATTATAAAACTTAATTAGTTATAAACACTTATAAATTCTAACTTACATTATCGTAAGGTAGTCAACAGATGTAGTTGATGTTGCTAATATTACGTTACCATTCTCTAATGCTACGGGTTCAGATTTGGCAGTTGATGTTGACAGTTCTATTTCAACATTGATCGTATTCTTCAATATTGGTTTTGAAATAAACGCTGATGGAACTATGTTGATAGCACTATCCAACGATACTGCCTCATTGAATATATCTTTAGCATATGTAGATGCACATTAGTTATTGTATGAATTAAAATTTTGCAATTAGTGCTTGTGCAGTTATAAATGATGCAATAGTACATTGTGTAACATGTGTGGTAAGTTGTCTATTACGCGACACGGGCGCGCGAGCGCACGAGCGAAGCGAGTGCGCTCCCTCGCGTCCGTGTCGCGCAATAGACAATTAGCACATAAGTTGCACATAGATTTTTTCCTTACGAGTGCACTGTGTTATACAATTATATAAATTCGCACGAGCGAAGCGAGTGTGACTTATGGGGTGGTGCGTGGGGCGCAGGTAGCAGGGGGGGATTCGGGGGGGGGGGGCGCAGCCCCTCCCGACTAAGAAATTACAATAATAATTATTACACGTTGAAAGACACTTATACAATGGGTGCTTTCCAGCAAGGACAGAATCAGACACTGTGTAACACAGAGAATCGTTTCATCCTCGTTTAACGTAGGCAAACAACAGGGATGCAATGATTCATTGTGTTACACAGTGTCTACTTGTGTCGTAGCTGGAAAGCAGCCAATATTAGTTATTACACGTTGAAGGATACTTACAATCTTAGTAAAATGGCTCCGTTCACAAATTTCTGACATAGCAATGACATAGAGATGATGCAATGCCCGCGAAAAACGGCGCGACTCGAACGAACACCGGGCGGGCGGGCGCCAGCGTCGACGCAGGTTAAGTTTCTCTGTGTTGTTATTTGTGCTACCAGTGGTACTACCCTACCACAGCGTTGCGTTATTTTTCATAACGCAACGCTTTTGCGAAATAACTCAACGGCTTGAGTTATTGGCTATTTACCGCACGCAAAAGCGTTGCAGTATAGGGCACATTACGTACACGTGTGAGGAAAAAATATTTACCAACTCCTTCAACCACATGTGGTTCCTCAAATAAATTTATTGTAGGGATTGCATCAAATCTCAACTTCCGACTTCTTATAGGAGAATACTGTAAAGCTATCTGCTGCGCAGATTTATCATAACATAATACCTCAAAGTGGTCAGAACA